GAAAGAGAGGGGGAGGGAAAGGGAAAAAGAGAGAGAAAGAAAACCCCTCATGGGGCTTGGTCATGCCATGATCCATTTTCTTCCAACTCTTCATCCCATCAGGATCCGGGGCATATGCATGCACACTCAGTGTGTAGGCTGCTGGTGCAGAAACTCAAATCCTGGTCAGTCATGTGGGACCACGTTTCCTTTGCAAAGCACTTGCGCATTGTGCTATAAGACCAGGCTCAGTTTATTTATTTATTTTTACCATGAGCCAGAGAGAGATTGTGATCTAACCCCAGCTCCAGTCCCAAATTATGGGCTCCAGCACATGACCGGTATGCTTAGGGAAGTCTTCAGATGAAAACTTAGAACCTTCCCATGTGAGTTGAACATTGCATTTTACTGCTGTGCCACCACCAGGCAACCTGTGTTTTTATTCTACCTAAATCAGAGAAATGGATCATCATCATTCAGGAATTCTTTGTACCTATTTTCACCTAGATTCTACCAATACCAAGAGAGTTCAACTGGATCCTATTTGTTTGTTTGTTTTAGTTTTTTGCCATAGGGTGCATGTGCTCACAGGACAGTGACAGAGAGAGAATGAGAAAGTGAGATGTCATCCTCCAGGGGGATGGCCACACCACAATCCCTTCTCTTCCGTTCTCCTCTCAGACTTTTGAGCACACATGCACTTGGGTCTAGTGTGATTTTAAAGCCACTAGGTCTAGAACTCAAACCACAGACTTGGCCATGTGGGATCTGGCTGCCTTAACCTCCATGCCACTTGCTAGCCCTACTCAATCCAATTTTGACTGAGACAAAACTTCAGATCATTTGCAGGAATGTAAAAGTAGTTCTGTACTATCTCACATGAGACTTTCAAAGACCATTAGTGTCATCTTAAGGTGACACTGTAATATTCAACTGCTAGTCTTTCTTCTGTCCCTTTCTTTCTTTTCTTCTTCTTCTTCTTCTTCCTTTTTCTTTGCCAGAGGGTGCATGTGCTTACCAAGGAGAGACAGAGAGAGGGAGACACACAGAGAGAAAGCATAACCCAATAGGGCATGGTGACACTACAATCCCTTCTCTTCCATTTCTCTATCTTTTTGAGATTTTGGGCATGCACCCACAAGCACCTGATGTGTCTTTTTTTTGGGGGGGGGGGTTTGCTATAGGGTACGTGTGCTCGCCAGAAAGACAGAGATAGAAAGTGAGAAATCACTTCCTAGGGGGGATGGCCACGCCGCAATCCTTCCTCCTCCATTCTCCTCTCGGAATCTTGGGCATGCATGCACACACGCCTGGTGTGTGAGTTTAAGCCACTGGGTCCGGGACTCGAACTGCGATCGGCTACATAGGAGTTCAACAACATAGTCATTACGCTAACTGCTGGTCCCCCTGATGTGTTTTTCAAGCAACTGGCTCTGGGACTCAAATCATGTGGTTGGTCATGTGGGATACAGTCACCTTAACCACCAGGTTAGGGGCTAGCCAACCTTTCCCCTTTTCTAATTTGTTTGGTGCTATAAATGTCCCTCTCAGGCCTAGTTTTAGCTGTATCTCAGCAATTTTTTTGTTAGTAACTGGAAATTATGGGGTGAATTTTCCATTTATTTTTCAACATTTTTGTTATATAATTTGATGACTTCTATACATTACAATAAAACACATACCATCTAGATTGATGCTCTATGAAAATAGCATTAGAGATTTTTTAAAGAAAAGCATAGATGCCTGAAAGATGGCAAAGGACAGATCACAAACACCCTTGACTTTCTTTAATATTAATTAACTGTGCTATTATTTATCCAATAAAAATGGGCTGAATGATTTTTGCTTTAGATGTATTACCTTACAAACCCAAACTAATTTTTTAATCCTAAGTGAACTACTTTGGGCAAATTATTTAACTTCTCTGGAGCTTTGGCTTCCTCATCTATGAAGTGATAACAAGTTAGTTATCTCATAGAATCTGGAAGATTAAATAACATAATGGCTATAAAGAGTTCAGTATATTGCTTAGCATCTAATATGTTCAATAAATTTTGAGTGTGGCTATTCAAAGATTTATGAATTTTCTTTCAAGTGAATTTGATAATCTTGATAGTTTTTCACCAGTCCATGAATCCTTATTAATCTACTCTGGAAAGTGTTTACAGTCAGAAATTACAATGACAAGCTATATTGAGCATGCTGTATTTGTGAAATCTGAATATTATTACTAACAATACAAAAAAACTTCATTGTATTTCATAAAATTAAGCATACTATGCTCCTTGAAAGCATAAATATTAAAATGTTTTATTTAATACGATTTAACTCATGATTATAAAAGCAGAAAAATATAAATAAAAACCAGAATTGTAGGGATATGCCATTATGTGTTTGGCATCCTCATATATATAAAGACACTTAGTATCTTGACTGGATACCACAGTAGTATTAGAAATTTGCTAAGGTAATAATCTCTTTACCACATTACAACATACTAAACATAGTTTATTTTCATTGCCTCTTAAGACTATCAGAGGGAAAAATAAAGATGTCAGAAGGAAGAATGATAATGAAAGAACCTAAAATAAATCTTCAAATACCTATAGTATAGAGACTCTATTTTACATTATTGTACTTCATATATACTTTTTAAAAAAAGAATTATTTTATTTAACCTTATTTATTATTATTACTTGTTTTAATTTGACCAGAGAAAGAGAGAGGGAGAGAGATAGAGAGAGAAAGTGAGAAAGCAAGCTGCCAGGTCTAAGGCTCAAACCACAGTCAGCCACGTGGGAGTCCAATATCTTTAACTACCATGCCACCTGCCAGCCCCAATTTCATACATACTTTTTTTTTTAATTTAAAGATTTTTGGGAACCAGCAGTTAGCGTAATGGCTATGTTGCTGGACTCCCATGTAGTCGACCGTGGTTTGCGTCCTGGACCCGGTGGCTTAAAACTCACGCCGGGCACGTGTGAGTGCGTGCCCAAGATCCCGAGAGGAGAATGGAGGAGAAGGGATTGCAAGGGATGGCGGCGGGACCAGTCCCACTGGGGGGTGAGGTCTCGCTTTCTGTATCTCTGTCTGTCTCTGTCTGTCTGGCGAGCGCACGTGCCCTATAGTGAAAACCTCTCCCCCCACCCCACAAAAAAGATTTTTGTTTAACTCTTTTTTTTTTTTTTTAAATTTAACCAGAGAGGGAAGAGAAAGAGAGAGAGAGAAAGGGAGAAAGGAAGCCAGCAGGTCTGAGACTCGAACCACAGTCAGCCACGTGGGAGTCCAGCACCCATAATCACCATGTCATCTGCCAGGCCTATACTTTTGAGAGTTTTAATACTGGAGAATTTTAAAACAAAACTTCTTTACTCCAATATATGCTTTAAAATGCCATAATGTTTATATACAGAATAAAGGAAAATATCAGGATAGAAAGCAAATCTTTGTTTTGTAGTCCATAATGTTTAACAAGTATCTATTTTATAATATGAAAGATACCCTGCTATGTGTGATAAGTACCTAAGAGAAAACAAAACATTAAGGTGTGCTAGAGAAAACATATAGAAAAACCTATTTATAGTTCGGAGAAGAAAAAACTTGGTACCTTTCATGGCTTCTTCAAAAGAACAAGGTCTTGCTGGACTAGATATTTCCTTCTTCACATTTACATTCAAAGCACCAGATGCTGCTATTAAAAAAAGAAAAAGAAAAAAAGATGAAAATATTTAAATTTACTCATCCTAACAAAATATGTATCTTGAAATTCTTTCATTAGACTATTTTCTCATAAAGCATCATTAAATTATTTGTGTAGTAGAAATTCTAGATTATGGGCTGGCAGGCAGAGTGGTGGTTAAGGCAGGTGGACTCCCACATGACTGACTGTGGTTCAAGTCCCAGATCTGGCATCTTGCTTTCTCACTTTCCTTCTCTCTGTCTCTCTCTGATTAACTTCCATGCTCCTTCATTCTCCTCTTGGGGTTTTGGGCATGTACACACACATTTGAGGCTTGAATTTCAAGCCACTAGGTCTGGGTGGGACTCAAACCATGGTTGGCTACATTGGAGTTCAGGGCCTTAACTGCTATACCACCTGCTGGTTCGTTATTTGGGTTTTTAAGGCCTTTCTAGGAAAAAAAGAAATAAAATATTTGGTCTTTGAGTATCAACCAATCTTCTTTCTTCTATTTCTGTTGAAGCCAGAATATTATTTTTAAACTTTTCCTAAAAAGTTTTTACTTGTGATCTTTTGTTTTGAAATAGAGGAATTTCATTAGTGCTATACCCTATTATACTTTTGTAGCAAACTAGTGGAAAATAACCGGTGCTACAAAGTTCAGACATGATTAAAAAAAAAATAGGGGAGCCAGCATACGGTGTAATAGTTATGTCGCTGGACTCCCATGTATTTGACCATGGTTTGAGTTCTGGACCTGGCAGCTTAAAACACATCGGGCATGTGTGCATACTGTCCAAAATCCTACAAGGAGAATGGAAGAGAAGGGATGGCAGTGTGGCCATCCCCCCGGGGGATGATTTCTCACTTTCTGTCTCTTTGGTGAGTGCACGTGTCCCATAGCAAAGATCTCTCTTAAAAAGGGGGGATGGGAAATAGATCAACTGACAGTAATTACCGAGACTAGTTATAAATACTCTGTCCCAGGTATCATTTTTTTTTTTCCCTACATTCTGACGCCAGGGCTTTCTTTTTCTATTGGGTTTCTTGCCATAGTTTTCTCACCTTCTACCTCACTGGATCCAGAACTATTTGGTAATAATGTATCAATAAACTCCAGATATGGAAGAACCACTAATTCTGAAGTATGCCTGAGAATAAAATGAACTAAACCAATGGAAACCATGGCAGAAACCAAGCCTAGATCAAGAGAATACACAAAGTTTCTATTTCCAAAATGTTCTCCCTACTTCTGCCAGAAGACTTTTCTCTTCTTCAGACAACTAAGTGTAGGCAAACAACTCATAAGACACTCCTTAGCCATGTATCTTTTAAGTTTTTAACATTTCAGTTGCTCTTTTTGCTTTTATTTTTCTTTCTTTCTTTCTTTCTTTTTTTTTCCAAGAAAGATTTTTGCCATAGGGCCTGTGTGCTTTAAGAAAGACAGAGAGAAAGAAAGCGAGAAATCAACCCTCAAGGGGAGATGGCCATGCCGCAATCCCTTCCTCTATTCTCCTCTTGGGATCTTGGGCAGGTACATACGTGCGCCTTGTTTGAGTTTTAAGCCACTGGGTCTAGGACTCAAACAGTGGTTGATTAAGTGAGAGCCCAGTGACATAATTATTATGCCATCTGCTGTTTTCTAAAACATCTTTTTTTTAAAAGAATTATTTTAGAAATAGTGTGTGTGCACTGGCCAGAGACACACAGAAAATGAGAAATCACCCTGATGTCCATGTCACAATCCCCTCTCCTCCATTTTCTTCTCTTGGGATTTTGGGGTTGCATGCACATGCGCCTGGCATGAGTTCCAGGATGCTGCATCTGGGACTCAAGCCATGGTTGGCCATGTGGGAGTTCAGCAACATAACCATTATGCATCTGCTAGTCCCTCTAAAGTATCTTACTTTACCTAAATGCTTAAAAATATTCAGACATTTACTCATCAGTCTTTGATACTTTTATCATTTGCCACCTCAAGCTTCTCTCTCACCTCTCTAAATCACTCTATAAATCAGTCAAACCACCCAGCATTATCACTTTCATTTTTCTGCACATAAGATGAATGAGAATTCTTCTTCTTAAGTTTTCTGCCGTAAGGCACATGTGCTCACCAGAGAGGAGAGACAGAGAGAAAGTGAGAAATCACTCCCCAAGGGATATGGTCAAGCTGCAATACCTTCTCCTGGGATTTAGGGCATGTGCACACACATGTCCGGCATGAGTTTCAAGCCACCAGGTCCAGGACTCAAACAATAGTGGCAATGTGGGTGCTATCCTGCACCTTAACCACCAAGCCACCTGCTGGCACTAATGAGTGGTAATTCTTACTAAGGAGTAACCTATAAGAGCTCCAGAGAATAGGATTCCAGAACAGACCTGGCTTTTCTTATATTATTTGAGTATCAGGTAGAAACCATTCCCTTAACATAATATTAGTAAAAGAACAATAGGATCTGGTGTCTATCTTCTTGGGAAACAATACCATCTTCAAAAGAGACTAATATCAATTCATCTTAGCAACTTTTTCTTTTTTTGGTTAGCTGGTCTTATAGCCTTCTAAAAAACTAGAAATTGATTAATTACTTTAGTTTAGAATCTTTCATGTTGACATACCTGGGTCTGGAGTGTAAGTGAATGGCTGCACATCATGAGATCTTCCAGCATTGGTCACTACATATATTCCCACTGACACAGGCAAAGTTATATGTTGGTCATGATATGGGGGAACCTTCACAATAAGATGATTCTAATTTAAAGAAAAGTACAAGAATCAGAAAATAAGCAATACTTAAATGAAAAAGATTATTTCCTGCTACCTGTAAAAGTTTTAAAAGTCTGGTTAGAAAATAATGCACTTTAAAACTATGTCCTACATAGCTTACAGGTCTCCCTGTCAACTTAAACCTTTTTTTTTTTAAAGGCTTTTGTCATAGAGCACATACAGTTGCCAGAGACAGAGAGAGGGAAAGTGAAAAAAATCATCCTCAGGGGGGATGGGCACACCGTAATCCCTTCTCTCCATTGTCCTCTTGGGATTTTGAGCACACGTGTAAATGCATCTGCATGATTTTCAAACCACCAGGTCCAGGACTCAAACTGTGATCAGTCAAGTGGGAGTCCAGTGCCTTAACCACCACACTTTCTGCTGACACCATGTCAATTTAATCTTATTACCACTCTTCCCCTGGCTCACTACATTCTAGCCACACTCACCTTGTCGGTCTATTCTTTTAAAATACTAAACCCAGTTTTACCTCAGAGCCTACATTTGCTATTCTTTTCCACTGTAATTTTCTTTCTCTTTTTTTCTCTATTTATTTTGCCAGAGGGCACATGTGTTCACCAGAGAAGAAAGAGAGCAGAGAAAGCACACTCTTCATGCAGAATAATCACACAGCAATCTTTTTTTCATCTCTCCGTTCTTTTGGGATTTTGGGCACACACATGTAAGTGCCCAGTATGTTTCTCAAACATGGGCTCAAACTATGTAGTTGGCCATGTGGGATCCATTTATCTTAACTATCAGGCCACAGAGCTGGTCCTGTAGAATTTTTTCTTATCTCATCAAATTATTAGTTCCTTTTCTATTTTCATGCCTGATACAAATATTATCTCCTCAGTGAAGCCTTCTTTAATCATCTTATTTAAAGTAGCTCTTCTTTCACTCTAATTATATAATTTGGTTTATTTCCAAAATAGTATTTCTCACCATCTGAAATTACCCTAATGGTTTTCTTGTCTCTCTTCAACTACAAGGATGTAAGTTCCATGAGGACCTAGGTTGTTTTGTTCTTCGCTCTATCTCTCCTATTAAGGATAGTACCTTCCACAAAATATACTCAAATATATTTGCTGAAAAAACTTGCCCATTAAAACACAAAGTCAATCACAGTATGTTCCGTACAACTATAATGTGAGAAGTATATCACAATGCAGTTTACCAATTTCTAACCACTTTCTCATTTAAAGTCAAATAGAGCAGTTATCAAAGTCTGAGTAAGTCAGGATGTTTTTATTTACCCTTATAAGAGAAAAGTAGAGCTTATAAATGTTTCACCAGTACATACTTACAGAGACTATATTCTCTTGGCAAATAATGTAAACCACCTTTGACTTTTTTCCTTTTTTCCCTAGTAGATTATAGTAATGGAAAGAAAAATCAGAGGGTAGTGATTATGCTATTTTACTAAGAATCTTATATACAGGAGGCCATTGCTAACAGTTGAAAGTAAAATGAATTTGACATTTTTTATACTGAATTTTCTTTATTCATCATAGAGCATGTGTGTGCATGTGAGAGTGAAAGAAGAAAACTTTTTAAGTGCCAACATAATACCACAGGTAGAAAATTCCATACCTGACCTTAATATACATAAAATTGGCCCAGATGCAGTACTACAAATAGTACCATGGCACTGTGTGAGGCAGGGCCACACTGCAAACCTAGGTTTGGGTCCCAGATCAACTTAAACAGGCCAGGCATGGTAGCACATATCTATAATCCTAGCTAAATGGGAGGCAGGGGCAGAGGACAGCAAGGGGCAAGACCCTATGTGTCTCTCTCCCTCCTCCTTTTCCTTCTCTCATACCCTCTTTCATAAAAATAAATAAATAAATAAATAAATGTGTGTGTGTGTATAATTATATAATTACATACAGGCTTTGTGTTAAGGGTGTATGTGAAACATAAATAAATTTCATGTTTAAACTTAAGACCCAATCCAAGATATCTCAAATATATCAAACATAATATTCTAATATCTGAAAAATCCCAAATCTGAAACACTTAAGGTCTCAAGCATTTCAGATAAAGGAAATTCAACCTCCATGCTATATTCCAAGTAATCTAAAATTTTGCCCATTCAACTTATCTGAGTATCTGACATTTCCTTATTGACTACATCCAAAGTTTCTTATCTTTCAACACATTTACTCCCCTTGTTTCTTTTTCTTGCCAAAGAGTGTATGTGCACACCAAGGAGAGAGAGAGAGAGAGAAGAGAGAGACAGACAGAGGGAAAGTGAGAAATCAGCCCCTGGTGAGATGACCACACTGCAATTCCTTCTTATCTTAGGATTTTGGGCATGTATGAACACGTGCATGGTATGATTCTCAAGCAGCTGGGTCTGGGACCCAAATTGCAGTTGGTCATGTACCTTAACTACCACTCCACCTGCTGGTCAAATTAAAATAAATGAATGAATAAATAAAATTAAATAAAATAATTTTAAAAAAAAAGATTTATTTAATTTTCATTTATCATCATAATTTTTATGAATATATATATATACACACATATATATATATATATAAATACACACATATATTTTAAATATATTTATTTATTCATTCATCCCTTAATTTTAATTTGACCAGAGAGAGAAAGAGAGAAAGTAAGAAAGCAAACCACCAGGTCCAGGACTTGAACTGTGGTTGGCCATGTGGGAGTGTCCAGCACCTTAACCACCATGCTACCTGCTGGTCCCAATCATAATTGTTTTTTAATTTGCTAAAGGGCATGTGCACTCAGAGAGACAGAGAGAGAGTGTGAGAGGAAAAGTGAGAAAGCAAGTCACCAGGTCCAAGACTTGAACTGTGGTCAGCCATGTGGAAGACCAGCATCTTAATCACCATGCCACCCCAGTCTCCCTTTTTTAAAAAAATAATATAAACTCTAGGACCTCAGTTACGATTCCACTAAGAAAACACTTCCCCAAAAGTTCCTTAGGAAAAGAATAAACACAAGTTCTGAAAAAGATTAAAACTTTAAAATGGACAAAATCATAGAATTAATGATATATAATATTATAACTTTTTTGGGTTTTTTTTTCTTTTTGAGAGTTTTTTTTTTATAAGGTGCATGTGCTCACCAGAGAGAGAGAGAGAGAGAGAGAGAGAGAGAGAGAGAGAAAGTGAGAAATCATCCCATAGAGGGGGAATGCCATGCCACAATCCCTTCTCCTCCATTCTCTTCTTGGGATTTTGGGATGCATGCACATATGCCTCGCATGAGTTTCAAGCTGCCGGGTTCAGGGTTCAAACCAAGTTCAACTACGTGGGAGTATTAGTGCCTTAACCACTACACTACCTGCTCACCTGTTTTTAGTTTTTCCTATAGGCACATATACTAGCCAGAGACGATGGAGAGGGTAATGAGAAGTCACTCCTCAAAGATGGCAATGCTACAAGTCCTTTTCCTCCAGTCTCCTCTCTGAATTTTGGGTGTACTCACAAACACACCCATGTGATTTTCTTTTATTTTTTTTATTTTCTTAAAGAATTGTTTTATTTAACTTTATTTATTTATTTACTTATTTTAGTTAGACCAGAGAGGGACAGAGCAAGAGAGAGAGAGAGGGAGAGGGAAAGCGAGAAAGCAAGCTGCCAGGTCCAGGACTTGAACTGCAGTCAGCCATGTGGGAGTTCAGTACCCTTAGCCACCACGTCAACCTGCCGGCCCCACTAGTGTGATTTTCAAGACATGGGTTTGGTGCTTGAACTACATAGCTGGCCATGTGGGATCCAGCACCTTAACCTCCATTCCACCTGCTGGCTCAATTTAGTTTTTTT